GCCCCATGATCCCCTATTGCCTGGGGGCCATATGAATTGTCAGTACTCCCCTGTATGTGCCTTTAAAATTACAGCTGAGCTGGGAATTTTCAGATTTGGTATTGACATAGAATTTGCTACATGTGAACATTTTTGCCAGTTTTGTCACAAAAGAATGAAAAGAAGTGACCACTCACAGATCATAATTTGTATATATACATATATATATATATATATATATATATATTTATTTATTTTTGCTTGGGGGGGGTTGTGTCAATGAAACAACCTCAGTGATACTCTGTTTGGAGGTGCCTACAGTATATTGCTTAACGGCATTCTTATTTAGATCGTATTCTACAAGTTATAAAATTATAATGCTTGATTATTTTCTAAAGGCAGCAACATGTGAGGATTATCCCCATTTAGTAAAAATGTGGAACCCCCTACATTATCACTATAAAAGCACTGTGTCACAACACACAGAGAATGGATTTTGTAAGGATTTTGAAGGAAATTCCCACTGGTAAAGGGGCTTGCCCTGTGAAATCCATCATTTTAGTAGAGAGTAGGGGAGCTCTAATCCACACAGACCATGAAAAGCTTAAACATCACTATTTGAATCAGATCATTATAGCATTGGCTTCAAGCTTTTTTCTGGCATAATCCCATTTAACACAGGATCTCTGCTATTTTCTACAAACAACCTATAGTCTATTCATATATATAGGCAATCTGTTATAGTCAAAGACAGAAAAAGGAATGCTTCATGCACTAAAATATTCTTCCCCAATTATATTTAAGGTATTAAGTATAATACACACTCTAAATATCCCTACGAAAAGTATCACTCTCACCCCTGAAAGTGTAAACAAAATGTAAATAATATCTTTTCGATGCACCCTCTACCTCTAAAAGTATCACTCTCACCCCTGAAAGTGTAAACAAAATAATATAATATAAATAATATCTTATCGATGCACCCTCTACCACCCCCAACAGTGCAAAAACATATGTCAGCAAATGTCCACATAAAAGTCCATATACAGTGCTTTTCAATATATAGTGCTTTTTCAAACGTTGGGGACTAATCCACTTTGCTGATTTTCAATCCCGAATCCTCAAATCAGGATACCTCAAAAAAATATAAACTCAATATAGTGCATTATCATTACAACAGAAAAAAAAACACTCGTGACACTAAAGTGATTCCTCCTAAACCCCCACCAGTGACAAGCAACACTCCAAAATTGTGATTAAGTGCAATACTCCACAACCAGTGTCACCATCCAAATGTACTAAATACCATTACCCTCTCATAAAAGATCACATGCATCAAAAATGAAATAATGCCATTTCTCTTGTGGTATAAAATACCATTACCCTCTTCCAATGTAGACCAAGCAAAAAACTCCTTCCAGGCAATCCAAAGACTCCCCCTCTCCGGGAGCTTCCTACTGCTTCCAATCCACCTTCCCCGTTCCTCAAAGGGGCAGATAATACATGACTCAGTGGAGTATATAAAAGAAATTACAAAAATTTATTCAAAGCTTACATAGAGAACGCCAGCGTCCATCCTCTCCCACAGTCCATATAGCTGAACTCCAGTATCCAAGATGGCCGTGCCGCTACTTCCGGTTTGAAATTATAATGTTACGTCCTTACGTCCCTATAATGTTACGTAAGGACGTAACATTATAGTTTCAAACCGGAAGTAGCGGCACAGCCATCTTGGATACTGGAGTTCAGCTATATGGACTGTGGGAGAGGATGGACGCTGGCGTTCTCTATGTAAGCTTTGAATACATTTTTGTAATTTCTTTTATATACTCCACTGAGTCATGTATTATCTGCCCCTTTGAGGAACGGGGAAGGTGGATTGGAAGCAGTAGGAAGCTCCCGGAGAGGGGGAGTCTTTGGATTGCCTGGAAGGAGTTTTTTGCTTGGTCTACATTGGAAGAGGGTAATGGTATTTTATACCACAAGAGAAATGGCATTATTTCATTTTTGATGTATGTGATCTTTTATGAGAGGGTAATGGTATTTAGTACATTTGGATGGTGACACTGGTTGTGGAGTATTGCACTTAATCACAATTTTTGGAGTGTTGCTTGTCACTGGTGGGAGTTTAGGAGGAATCACTTTAGTGTCACGAGTGTTTTTTTTTTTTTCTGTTGTAATGATAATGCACTATATTGAGTTTATATTTTTTTTGAGGTATCCTGATTTGAGGATTCGGGATTGAAAATCAGCAAAGTGGATTAGTCCCCAACGTTTGAAAAAGCACTATGTATTGAAAAGCACTGTATATGGACTTTTATGTGGACATTTGCTGACATATGTTTTTGCACTGTTGGGGGTGGTAGAGGGTGCATCGATAAGATATTATTTATATTATATTTTGTTTACACTTTCAGGGGTGAGAGTGATACTTTTAGAGGTAGAGGGTGCATCGAAAAGATATTATTTATATTTAAGGTATTATTATTTTTACATGAGCTACAACAGTAAGATGTTGCTCAAGGTAAACATATTTATTGTTCTTGGCAACCATTCTGCTTCTTTGAGAAATTTCCACACCTGGACTATAAAAATTATATAGTTAACAAAAATTGTATTAACTTTTTAAACAACAAAGGGAATATTTGATAACAATGCAAAGAACAATGCACTGAAACCAACGCGTTTTTTCTGTGTTGGTAACCGCTTGTGGTCAGTGCTATACATACTTTTACAGCACTTGTGGACAGTTGCCTAGGTCAGCAGTTAGGGAGGCAGCAGAGCTAAAGTGGAGGTCCAGTCAAAATCTAAAAAAAAAAAAGCAGCTACAAAAACTGTAAATAAAAACAAAAAACAGTCACCTGTCCCTCAATCCAGCAGTGTCCTTAGCACAGTTGGTTTCACCAGCCATCCTCTCTCCCTGGCACCCCAATCACCCTAGGTTATCACATCAGAAGTGGGAGCTGGTACCTGTCAAAATCAGGTACCGCCCTCCTCCCCGCTCCCCAAAGGTGCCAATCTTTAAGGGGGGGTGGTGGACGAGGCCTTAAAGCGGAACGTCCCCTTTTGGGTGGTGCTCCACTTTAAGGAGGACAGCACCAATCCTCAAAATTTCCTTTTGACATTAGCAAGATAAACAAAGTGTGGGGGTAAAGGGGAAGCTAACAGGAGTCAGAAAGTTCTTTATAGTTTAAGGAACATGTAACTAGCTTGTGTTGACTTAATGAACTGGGCCTTCCATGTTACAGGATGGATCTACTGCAGGGCTTGAAAAAGCCGCTAGCCAAATGCGAGGAGAAATTCCTCTGTGGCGAGCAGTGAGCACAGATGAAGAAGCATGGAGCAACTGCACATGCGCTCCAAGCCTCATTGTGAAGCCGAGTTCCGGTTTACAACTTCCGGTTTCCGCGGCATCGCCATTACAGTGGCAGCGCCGCTGAGGGGACACGTGCAGGAGAGGTCGGCTCTCCTACGCCGAGAGGAGACACCCTCTCCACCGCCGCGGGGGACACGAGGCCCGCTCTCCACCACTGTGGGGGTCACGAGGCCCGCTCTCAACCGCCTTGGGGGACACGAGGCCCGATCTACACTTCCTTGGGGGACACGAGGCCCGCTCTCCACCGCCTTGGGGCACACGAGGGCCCGCTCTACACCACCTTGGGGGACACGAGGCCCGCTCTCCACCACCTTGGGGGACACGAGGCCCACTCTCCACCGCCTTGAGGGACACGTGGCCCGCTCTCCACCACCTTGGGGGACATGAGGCCTGCTCTACACCGCCTTGGGGGACACGAGGTCCGCTCTTCACCGCCTTGGGGGACACGAGTAAGGTTTGTGCCTGGCTAGTAGGACTGGACTCGAAATTTAACCCCTGATCTACTGCATAATTCAAAATATTAGAAGTTGAGAAAGAGGGACAATCTGAGAAGAAAACATGCGGCATGTGGTGAAAAGTGCATCAAGCAAGTTTCTTACACCTTACAGTAAAGGGACATTCTTTTTGAGAACAGTGAGGTGCATTTTGGACAGAAAGGACAACTGGTTCGCAAGAGGTGCGAAAGAGGCCATCATCGCCAAGCTGGAACAATTCTCATTGCACACCTTCTATGCCACCTGTTCTACATATAATGTTGTTTTAACATCCCTACCCCTGCATTTTGACATGTAAATCAAAATGCAGGGGTAGGTTAGAATTAAGTAATTATTTTCTTGCCACTCATTGAAACCAAGATGTGGCTTGAATAAGCTACAAAACATCTTCAACATGACAGACGTCCTGTAGCAATGACAATATGAATGGTCACTCATGCATCAGCATATAGTAAAAAGTTAAAACAAAGGGTACTCATGGGTCCACTTCAAAGCATAACAATGCATTAGGTTTGCACTAGGTTTGTCACCCATGGCTGCTAACTCCTTCTTCTCTTCAGTCAGTCTCTGAGTATCCTTGCAGGTATTGGCTCACTTGAGAGCCTCCATAGTAGCAGTACATGTATAATAATGGAAAGATTGAGGGTTGGTGAGCCTGATGGAGCTCACCCCTTCTTTAACCACAATCCTACGGGGCACTTATACCCCCTTCCTGCCCAGGCCAATTTCCAGCTTTCAGCGCTGTCACACTTTGAATGACAATTGCATATAGCATTTTTTTTAGACAGATAGAGCTTTCTTTTGGTGGTATTTAATCACCTCTGGGATTTTTATTTTTTCTTAAACAAACCAAAAACCACTGAAAATTTTGAAAAAAAAAATGTTTTTTCTTAGTTTTTGTTATACAATTTTGTAAATAAGTGATTTTTCTCCTTCACTGATGTGCGCTAATGAGGCTGCAGTGATGGGCACTGATAGGCTGCACTGATGGACACTGATAGGTGGCACTGATGGGCACTGATGAGGAGGCACTGGTAGGTTGCACTGATGGGCATTGACAGGCATCACTGATGGGCACTGAAAGGCGCACTGATACATGACACTGATACATGACACTGATATATGGCACTGATAGCGGCACTGACTGGCACTGATAGGCGGCACTGACTGGCACTGTTAGGCGGCACTGACTGGCACTGATAGGCGGTACTGACTGGCACTGATAGGTGACACTGACTGGCACTGATAGGTGGCACTGATTGGCAGGACTTATAGGTGGCACTGATTGGCATTGATAGGTGGCACTGACTGGCACTGATGGGTGACAGTGAAAGGCAGCTCAGATGGGCACTGATATGTGGCATTGATGTGCACTGGTATGCACTGATGGGCACTGGCACGTGACACTGATGGGCACTGGCACGTGACACTGATGGGCACTGACACGTGGCACTGATGAGCACAGAGAGGTGGCACTTCTGGGGCCACACTGATCATCAGGGCACACTGATCATCAGTGCCCTGATGATCAGTGTACATGTCCCCTCCGCGGAAAGCCAATTACCGGCTCTCCTCTCCTCTCGAGCTGTCAGCGTGACAGCTCGAGAGGAGAGAAATGCCGATAACCGGCATTTCCGTGTTTACATGTGATCAGCTGTGATTGGACACAGCTGATCACATGACCGAGCTGACATCTTCGGCTCTTTCTGTGATCTGCTGTGTCCGAGGCACACAGCGCACCGGTGATCGCCGCACTGCGCGCTCCCTGAGCTGCGCATGAGCAGTGAGAATGGTAGGACGTCATATGACGTCCTATCAGAACGAGAGAACCACCTTGCGCCTGTCATTGTACTATAGGGGCGGGCGGGCGGAAGGTGGTTAAGGTACAGGGGTACTGGACACCCAGCATATAGCCCAATGGCAGCCAAGGTGCCCAGTGAGTCCTCTCATCAATATATCAACAATATAAAAAATTGGTCACTGCCTCAATCTATAACTGGCCTTCACAAAAAGGAGCACATGGAAGGGCAATGCATGTCAAACAATAAAAGAGAAACATTCTCAGCTCAACCACTTACCGACCAGCCTGCAACCAACCAAATTGTCCTGTCTAACAGTTTGCATTAAGAACAGGGGTTTAGTTTGTGCACATTTGCAATACATGCAAAAGGTGCAGAGACTTTTTCTCAGCACCCCAATATTCTGCAGTTCCTAACTATAAATTTTGATAGCCTCCATAGTAGGAGCACATGTATCATAATGAATAGACTGAGGGCAGGTGAGCTTGAAGGAGCCCATCCCTCCTTAAAGGCACAGGGGTGCATTGGACACCCAACATATAGCACAATGGCAGCCAGGGTGTCCAGTGCGTTCCCTCACCAATAATTTGTTTGTACAGTTGAGGTATTGGTGAGGGGATGCACTGGACACCATGGCTGCAGCAGCTAATAAGAAACCCACCTGGGACTGGAAGATGTATTATAATGACAAAAACAAAGTCAAGAAGGTAACACTCCAGTCAGCGCTCTTGACCATTGGCTAAGAGAGCAGATCGGGAGTCAATCAGTAGACCTTTTTTGGTCATGCTTCTGTTGGACCGGCTACCGTATACATGGGCCAAATGTCAGCCAGTTTCTATTGACCCAGCCGATTCTGCCTGACATTCGGCCCATGAGTACTGGGCTTTAGTCTGCACAGTCTAGTCAAAGCGAAGCAACCCACCAATTCTTGCAGAGAATATAGTGACAACCACCAATTATACTGCACACACATTTGGCATAAAATATTTAAAATATTTAGAAAAAATCATTTGACGCTGACCTTTCTGCTGAGTACTGCAACACACAAACAGGTTTCCTGTGTAATAAATCTGGTTAGGACTCTGTTACCCATATAATGCACACCATAACATATGTATATGCAATGCAAGGTTCAGGAGTTTAATGAACATAATGTATAAAGTGCAGGGCTCAGGAGTATAATGTACAACATAGCATATACAGTGAGTGTAGAAAAGAATCACACCCTTTAAAATAATCACATTTTGTTGTTTTGCAGCCTGAAATGAAGACAGACACAGTTTTTGTTTTTTCCATCTGTATTTAATCAGTGCAACGTATGCTATCCAAGTGAAAGATATAACATTAACATGTCAGAAAAAAAGGTTAAAAAATGCAAAAACAGAATCACTGAGTTGGAAAAAGGATTGTCCCCTCTTAAAAATGACTTGTAAACTCAATCTGGTGTAGTTAATCACCTTCTCAATGGCACACACAAAGCCATTTGAGTTTCAACCATAAGGAGCTGTGGTTGTTTTGATTAGCTCAGCATGTAAAGAGCTTTCCTGGAGCATTTTAGTTCCTGGTAGTGCAACTGAAGCAAGCAATCATCTATGGGTGGCAAGGCACTGTCAAAAGATCTCTGGGATAAAGTTGTGGAAAGGTGTAGAAGCATAGTGAAGTCTATTATTAGGAAGTGGAAGGTATTTGGTACAACACAGACCCTCCCTGGATCAGGATGTCACTCCAAACTGGATCAAAGAGCCAGGAGGAAACTGGTCAGAGAGGCTACCAAGCGGCCTACAGCAACTCTGAAGCAGTTGCAAGAATTTATGACAAAGAGTGGTCATTGTGTGCATGTGACAACAATATGTGCTTTACAACTGTCAGCTTTACTCTGAGGGTATTTACATCCAAATCAGTGTGTCTTGTACAACAGTCTGAGGGCCTCCCATTTGTTAAGGGACCAAAAATAATGGGACAGAATAATAATCATAAATCAAATTTCTCAACTTGGTTGCAAATCCTTTGCAGCCAGCCTGAAGTCTGGAACGCATAGACATCACCAGACGCTGGGTTTCATCCCTGGTGAGCTTTGCCTCTAAACTGTCTTCACTTGGGGCATTTTCCCTTCAGTTTTGTCTTCCAAGTTGAATGCTCAATTTCAGGTCAGGATTGACACATGCAAACATTCCAACTCTTTGGTTGCTTTTGCAGTTATGCTTTGGGGTCCAGACTGTGTCCAATGACTGAAGCATTTGAATTATTTGAGTTATTACACTTGAAATCCTGCTGCTTTTGTCAGCATCACATCATCTGGTACAAGAGAACCAGTTCCATTGGCAATACAGCATCACTACCACCAATGCTTCACACCATGCTTAGGATAGCAGTTCCTTTCCTTCAGTCCATAATCACTCTTGGAGTTGTGGTAGGATGTTGTTCCAGAATGAAGGCTTTTTTAGATGTCGTTTGGCAAACTCTAATCTGGTGTCTTCTCTGAGGCTCAGCATGGGATCTGGACCCTCTGTATTCACACTGGAAGTCTTCTCTTGATTGTTGATGACACACATACATCTAAGAAAACTGTTGTGAAGGGTGTTTTCTTCACCAGGGATGGGCAAAGTTGTTTTCCGTGGTCTTCCGGGTCTTTTGGTGTTGCATCCGGTGCGTTCCATTCTTATGGAAACAGTTGTTTTCACGCCTAATGCTGATGGGTTTGTTTTGTTTTTTCAGCCTCTGCTGATGGCTTGCTTCAATAGTGACAGAAGATCTCATCTTGAAAAGCAACATAGATTTTAACACTTGAAATTAATGACAATGCTCATTGTAATTGGGATAATGAGGGAAAGCACACACCTGGCCATGGAACAGCTGGAAGAGAACAGCATATAAATGACCACAGGATGGTTAAAGGAGAACAAAGTGAATGTCCTTGCATTGCCTAGTAGAACCCAAACTTAAAACCCCATGTGGAATGTCTTGAAGACTGCAGTCCACAAATGGTCACCCTCAAATGTAACTGAACTTGAGCAGTTCTGCAAAAATGAGCAGGCATGAAAAAATATTGCAGTCTAGAATTATGTGCTAAACAATAAGAAATTAGTACATCCAAATCACATATTCCTACCAACAGTAATACTTGTTATGGGGGGTGTTTCTCTGCAAGGCTGGAGCAAATAGAAGAAAAAAAAAATTGGGCAAATGCCATCAAAAGATGGCCTCTGCCAGAAAGCTTCAACTTTTAACATGACAATGACCAAAAGCGCACACATAAATGACCACAGGATGGTTAAAGGAGGTGATGTCCTTGCATTTTTTCAATGTCTCAGTGATTCAAATGTAACTTTTTAATTTGCAGTCTGACAAAGTTGTTGGTGACTAAATGAAATTCTGTTCAACAAAATTGACACAAGGGGGTGATCCTTTTTTATGTTATAATTTTTCTGACAGTTATCTGTCACTTGTATGTTATAAGTTGAGTAAATACAGCTGTATAAAACAAAATACATGTATGTCTTCATTTCAAGCTGCAAAGCAACAAAATGTGATTATTTTAAAGGGGAGTGATTCTTTTCTTTACCCATTGTACAATGTACAACATAGTGGGCGTAGTGCAGAGGACAGGAGTATATATATACAACAGAGTGAATGCAGTGCAGGGGCCAGGAGAATAACATACAATTGTATAATGTATAAGAGTGCAGTGGTCAGGAGTATGTCATATTTCTCCTACTGCTCCAAGCTTTCCTCAGCATACACTTGCAGCCAACCCCCTCAGCACAGACCCTTAATACAGACTAACCCCCCCCTCCCCCAATCCAGCCCCTTCTCAGTAGAGACCCCTTCTCCAGTACAGACATCTTCCCCCATCTTAAACTCAGACATCAGATGGAATGCAGACCTCACATGCAGTATGAGCAGGAAGTCCTACCTTGAGCTGTGCTATGTGAGCCAAGGAGGAGCCTCCATTGGCTTTGCAAATAATTAGCCATTGCAGGTCATTCATATACAAACCCTGTCCCAGTTCATTTGTATGTAAATTATATGACAGCTCAATTATATGCACAAAATGTGGTGATTTGCACATGAATGAGCTATAAGCTCACTGTAGCAGGGCACTGCCTTTGCAGGCCAAAGCCTCTGTGCACAGGACTGCAATGAAATGCGATGCAGGTCTGCACAATCTGGGACTGTCTGGAAGTATGTATTCATTCCTCCTTCCCTGCCGTCACTCCCTTGAGGTGGCTAACTAACTTGCATACCATAGGTATACCGGTCAAGGGTGCTCTAGTCACAATCAGCGTTTAATCTTTCAGCCCTGCAGTTGGTTTGTGCGTATCTTGTGGGTATTGGTTCACTTACACACTCATTTTGTATGATGACCTGTGGTGTTGTGGACATGGATGGCCAATTAACCCTCCTGCTCTGCAATCAGTCACTCACTTCTCTTGCTGGTATTTCTCATACTAGTAGTATGGTGGCCTATGGTGACCTTGTCAAGAAGGAGGTTCATGAGCTTCCCTTTGGAAATGTCTCACTGGTTACTGTTGGGTTACCTTGTCATGCATGGCCACTGACCCCTCCTGCTCAGTAGTGGGTCTGTGTGTACCCCTTGTTGGTACTATTTGACTGCATGTTGTTTGTACTGCAGCCTGTGGTGACCTAGTTTTGCACGCCATTAATCCCTGCTGCTTGGCAATAGGTCTAGGAATAAGCCTCATTGGTAATTTCTCACTGTGCACTGTTTGCACAATGGCCTGAGTGACCTGGTGATGAATGGCCTTTCACCCTACTTCTTCTGCAGTGGTCTGTGAGTATTCCTTGTTGGTACCATCTCACTAGTTTACCATTTGTACAGCGACTTATAGTGACCTAGTTACACATGCTGTTCTCCAGTGGGTGTTTGAGTGATCCTGGTGGTTCTGTCTTAAAAGTATACTGTTTACATTGTGTTCTAGGGGGATGCCAAGTCCCTGCTGGTAATATGTCACTTACATAATCTTGGTAGACTCTGCT